TTCGAACCTGTATCCTATACAGAACTGTTATATAGCCTGACGTGCCTTTAACCGTTTCGGCCACAGAGGAGCGTTCGGTTAGCAAGGTCCATTTTACTTTAAACTTCAATCTTCTATGAATCTCTCACGTACATTCACATCTGCTCATGGTGTAACAAATGTAAACAAATGACGTCACACATTATGAAATGGATAAAGTTCGACAATTTATTTAAGACATTTTTTATGTTTATACATTCTTTTTATAAAAATGTCTTAAAATAATTGTCGGACTTTGTCCATTTCATAATGTGTGACTCCACACACACACACACACACACACACACACACACACATATATATATATATATATATATATATATATATATATATATATATATATATATATGTGCGTGTGTGTCTGTGTGTGATGTACCTACCATCTAAATCTCAGAAAGAGTCGGTGCACTGGCACAAATTTACTAAATTACAAAATGGCTGAAGATTGAAAATTTTATCTGCCAAGTTTCAAAGAAGCGATGTATTCAGGTCAAAATCTACACCGTCCTTGCAATTTTTATTTTGCAATTTTTTTTAGATTTATAACAAAATAGATATGCACATTTATTTGTCCACTGCACTGCATGTAATATCCCTATATTTCTATGTATCCGCTTGTGTGTTCACAGGTGCATATAAGTGCATAAGATCGGGTGAGTGTTCAATAAAAACAACTCGAGATATAAAACAGCGGAAAGAGAGAGAAACTGAAAAAAGAAAGTTGCCTTGTTCTCTTGAAGCAATAACACAAAGAAGTTTTACGCTTGTATTTATACAGGTTAAGTAAATTTCAGTATCTGATAACGTCAAATGGCTGGCGGCGCGTTACAAGTGATTTAGTTCTGTTTTGGATTTTGTTTTTGCTTGTTTCTTTCTTTGTTTCAAAATCGATTTGAAGCCAAGAGAAATTGGCTTCAGGTTGAGTGAGCAACATTGATTGACAGAAACGTCGCTGCCAAGTGACGGGAGACAACTGATCAGCTTGTAGGCGTGGTCCTAGGAGAAAGGCGCTTACACTCAGTAATAGAAAGAAAGTATGACAATGAACGTGTTTTTTTTTCGGTGGTGGGGGCAGAATTGCACTTGCACACATTAGAGAATGCGTAGGTGGCAGTGCGGTTGAAGTCCTTGTCTCGCAATCCATTAAGACCAAGTGCATTACAGACAGAAATTGTTAAGAACGAGTATTGTAACGAACACGAAAGAGCGAGAAATGTGAAGAACGAGAAAGAGCGAGAATTGCGAATAACGCGAAAAGGGCGAGAATTGTGAAGAACGAGAAAGAGCGAGAATTATGAAGAACGAGAAAGACCGAGAATTGTGATAAACGAGGTTTGATTCATTGGTTGATTTGTTTTCTTTTACGGTTCATCCACCCTTTTATGTTATTTAAAGCCGAAATATTTGGGATGGTGAGAATAATTCTTTTATTTTTTGTTTTGCGAGTCAACAATTTTTAACAATTTTTTTGAGATAACAAGAATTTTTTCAAGTCCTACTATTTAACACAAAGATGGAGGAAAGAAAAGATGAATTCATACCTTCCCAACTCGTAAGTGACTGTAACGAACCCGACTGGAATTCAACCATGACTGTCCGATTTATCATTCCGGTCTGTTATCCACTACACCATCTACACATCCGTGAAAATTAATTGATTTTTTTTTAACATCTTATCAAGCGTTTCTTGGATATTGAAAGCTGAAACATATTTCTAGTTCTAGCAGGTGTTCGCAAGTGGTCTTCCGTTTAAATACTGACCGGGATCGAGGCTGTGTGACTTTGAACGAGAACTGGTGCTTTCAACGAGAATTTGACTATAAGTCATCCGTGAAGAACGAGAAAGACCGAAAAGTTAAACATAAAATAAATAAGACAACAGGAAAAAATGGACTAGTCTGGCACAAGGCCAACAAACATTTTCCGTATCTCGAGCGGTCACCCATTTTGTGTACAGATTTGGTAGAATTCTTCTTTTGTGCGTTGACTCTTACGGGCGTGGGTGACATGGCTATGCAAGACCTCGTATCCTCTGTATCTCTCAGCAACACTTGTCCTTTTTCCATCTCTCTCATCCTTGTCCAGCAATTCATTCGCATAAGCTAGTCAGGTGGGTGGCCCACTATCTTCTTCTGTCCCTTTCGACATGCCATGTGAGTATCGAATTCTCTAAGCCCTCCTTCATTAATTGTCTAAAGATCTACAGCTGCCGCTTTCAGATTCTGAATACAAGTATAATTTTGTTTTCATTTTCCTTAAGTGTTCCTTCATTGCATACGCGCTCGATTCGACTCTGCTTCACTTAAATGATCAGACGCGAACCAGTGCTTTCAGACTGGTAATTTGCTATGAGCATGTACAGGGAAACAACTGTAGTAATTATTGGTGTATAATACGCAGTTTTTTCTGCATGAGAAATAAATATTACATTTTTCGCCAAGTTCGTCGCCATATTGGAGATAAGATGAGCAAAAGTAAGTTATATTTATTGTTGAAACAAATGTAGTAAGAGTTCAAAATGGAAAAAGGGTTCAAATGCAGAATGAGTTCAAAATGGATAGAGAGTTCAAATGCAGAATGAGTTCAAAATGGACCGAGAGTTCAAATGTAGAATGAGTTCAAAAATGAATTCAAATAGAATGAGTTCAAAATGGATCAAATGCAGAATGAGTTCAAAATGGATAGAGAGTTCAAATGTAGAATGAGTTCAAAATGGACAGAGTTCAAATGCAGAATGAGTTCAAAATGGATAGAGAGTTCAAATGCAGAATGAGTTCAAAATGGACCGAGAGTTCAAATGTAGAATGAGTTCAAAATGGACAGAGTTCAAATGAAGAATGAGTTCAAAATGGATAGAGAGTTCAAATGCAGAAAGAGTTCAAAATGGACCGAGAGTTCAAATGCAGAAAGAGTTCAAAATGGATAGAGAGTTCAAATGCAGAATGAGTTCCAAATAGACGGAGAGTTCAAATGTAGAAAGAATTCAAAATGGACGAAGAATTCAAATGCAGAAAGAGTTCACAATGGACAAAGAGTTCAAATCACTAACCAAAGAGTGCATTGTTTTAATATTTGTCATATTGATAATAAAACATTTTAGTCTGCATCACTGCTGTTCGTCAGATATAATTTTAAGGGATGATGAGTTATTATTAGTTTCTCTATTTATATTCTGACTATTGTACATATCTTTTTTTATTGTTATCACAACCATTTGCTCGTTGTAATCTCCGGCCTTCATCAGGTATATATCGATCTGGGTAACCTACAGGCAATTCTAAACTGAACACTTTATTTAATCAACGGAAAGTAGACTGTTCTTTTCACACTGATTATGTCTAGGGATGCCGTCTAGTTCTTATTTTTAGTACTGCTCAGTTATTTTTCGTCCGTTTCCACTAAGTCCAAGTAGACACTGTCCGGTCCAGGGATTGAACTCACAATCACTATGTGATCAAATTTACCGACCAACTGCTTTAAAACGGATTAAATGGCTTAAAGCGTTGAATTTAAGTCGTTGGTTTGTGAATTTGCTGATATAGTAATTGTGTAAATGGCGGAAATAATAATGTTAAGGCTTGTGCAAAACCAAGCACACTTTTCAGAAGGACCAAATACAGTCGACCTGGGTATGACGATAAACTACGTCCGCGTCCTGGGTAAGACGATACACTACATCCGCGTCCTGGGTATGACGATAAACTACATCGGCGTCCTGGATATGACGATAATCTACATCCGCATCCTGGGTAAGACGATAAACTACATTCGCGTCATGTGTATGACGATACACTACATCCGCTTTCTCGGTAAGACGATAAACTACGTCCGCGTCCTGGGTAAGACGATAATCTACACCCGCATCTTGGGTATGACGATACACTACATCCGCGTCTTGAGTAAGACGATAAACTACATCTGCGTCCTGGGTATGACGATAAACTACATCCGCGTCCTGGATAAGAGGATAAACTACGTCCGCATCCTGGGGAAGACGATAATCTACATCCGCATCCTGGGTATGAAGATAAACTACATCCGCGTCATGGGTATGACGATAAACTACATCCGCATCCTGGATAAGAGGATAAACTACGTCCGCATCCTGGGGAAGACGATACACTACATCCGCATCCTGGGTATGACGATAAACTACATCCGTGTCCTGGGTATGACGATAAACTACATCCGTGTCCTGGGTATGACGATAAAATACATCCGACAGCAAGGCCTTTAATCAAAAAGTTTGTTAGGGGCGTGGAACAACCTCCTAATTGCTAGTGTTCCCAGGTCCACCTTAACCCGAGGTGGTATCACCTGTTGGGGTCTCAGCTTTGGGCAAATGGTTAACCTCTGAACTGGGGTCAAGACATTATGAAAGTGTAAAAATATGTTTTAATGACAGTAATGGTTTTTTTTTTGTAAAAGAATTATTACAAGCAATACATTTTTGAAGAAAAATTATTGCCAGCAATACATTCTTGGAAAAAATATTACCAGCAATACATTTTTGGACAAAAATATTACCAGCAATAATTTTAAGGAGAAATATTACCAGCAATAAAAATCTTGTCGGCATTAAATAAAACAAACTAAAAACCAAATATAGAGAACTGGTACACGGAGTGTGTCACAAGGTCTACAAACGACCTTTCACGCGTTTTGAATTCAGAGTTGTCCTTCACATAGACTGGTTGGCAACCAAAGCTAGATTACCCAGTCGGTCCGCTATTAACCTATAGCTTGGAGGAGAACAGATGGATATTTTTCCATAGGTATTTGCGTGTGAGTGAGTGTAACGAACCCGATGGGAATTCGAACTCGGTTCTCCGATTTCTCCATTCCGAGCCGCTATTCAATCCACCATTTACCATCAACCTTAATGCAAGAAGGGCTTAATGGTACTTTAGATGATTAAACATTACACAGGATATCCACAGTAGCGAAGACAGAGCTCAGCC